TGGGAGTGGTGGCTGCGCCTCGTAGGTGGAGGAAGAAGGGTGACGCAATTCACATCCGCAGCTGTGCCCCCTGGCACGCTGAGGTGTGGACTAAGGCCCAGGGCTGTCTGGTGGGGTTTTTTGAACTGCAATAAGGGCACCCCCCCCTCCCGGCAGCAGACTGCTGCGTGCACCGCCCCTTCTTTCCGAGGCCACTTCCCTCGTGCCCGCTCGAGGGTTGTGCACTTTCAGCATGGCAGCAAATGCCAAATCCTCCATTCCACGCGTGACCGCTCGAGGATGGTGCACTTCCCACATGGCAATGCCTAAACCCTCATTCCATGCGCGCCTGCTCAAGTATCATGGACTTCCCACATTCCAAGGCGCTGCTCCCAAGCGCTCCAGGGCCTCCGCGATCCCTCGCGAAAAGCGACGGATCTACGTCCCGAGCTTCCTAGACGGCCCGTGCAGGCAGCCAAGGACACCAAAATGGCTAAAGATGCCTCGAAGACGGCCCAACATGGTATCAACAAGGCCGAATAGTGATTCAAGACGGCCCAAGATGCCCCCAAGAGGGCCCCAAAGGGCCACAAGAGGACCTCCAACAGGGTCCGAAGACACCACAATCATTGATTCCCTTGGGCTTTTGAATGATGTTCGCATTCTCGCCTTTCCGGGCTGCCGTCAGCTCAAGACGGCCCAAGAATACTCGCCCTCAAGACGGCCCAAAAGGGCCTCCCGTGGGGCCCAATACAGCCTCAGAAGGCCATTCGACGGCCCAAGACGGTGCCAAGACGGCTCCACGACATCTCCCCGACACCCACCATACGGCCAAGAGGACCCCAAGACGGCCCCAGAGAGCCCCAAGCCAGCGTAAGAGGGCCCCAAGACGGTCCAAGAGGGCTCCAAAGGACCCCCCCCAGACTGCCCCACGGCAGGCCAAGACAGCCCCAAGACGGTCCAAACTAATTCCATACGACTCCTCCTCTTCTCCCTCCTCCCCAGCAGCAACAACCTACGTCATAAACGGCGTCATCGTCATCGTCATCGTCGCCGTCGTCGTCGTCGTCCTCATCCTCATCATTATCGTCCTGCTCCTCCTCCGCCTTTTTTTCTCCTTCTCCTCATCACCACCACCCCATCAGCATCATCAGCAGCAGCATCAGAGTCATCAACAGCAACAATGACACCAGCAACACCACCACCACCACCAACAACACCAACAGCCACAACACGCCACCACCAACACCAACACCAACACCAACACCAACAGCAACAACAGCAACAACAACAGCACCAACACCAGCAACAACGACAACATCAACAACGACAACATGAACAGCACTAACAACAACAACAACAACAACAACAACACCAACAACAGCAGCAACAACAGCAGCAACAACGACAACGACAACGACAACGACGACAACAACACCAACCACAACAACAAAAACAACAACAACACCAACAACAACAACAACACCACCACCACCACCACCACCACCACCAACAACAACAACAACAACAACGACAACGACAACGACAACGACGACAACAACACCAACCACACCAACAACACGAACAACACCAACAACAACAATCACAACAGCAACAGCATCACCACCACCAACAACAACAACAGCAACAACAGCAGCAGCAACAACACCACTCCTTTTAAGACTGTTCGCCCTTCCCTGCTCGCATGCCATTGACACGTATATCCCAAACCCTCGGTACCCGCCCTATTCGTCTTCGATCGTACCCCCCCTTGGGGATATATCTTCCCTACCTGCCGCGTGTAGTTGACGCAGCCCGAAAACTGGGGAAGAGAGGACGGATGGGAGAGTGATGGAGGAGGATGGACCACGAAAGAGAGTAGCAGGAGGGTGCTAGGAGCAGAAAACACGTGGAAAAACCAGACGGGCAGAGGGGGCGGGTAGACCCTAACGGGCGGGTCGGGAAGGCGGGCCCAGGCGGCCAGGTCGAGCAGGCGGGTTGCCGAAGCGTGAGCATGAATCGCAAGAAGTCACGAGCGATAGTGCGATTCCCAAGTAAATCATAAGAAAGGCGCGAGCGACAGCGTAATTCTCGAGTGTCGAGGGCGCGGCGTCTGAGGAAACTGCGAGGAAGTCTCGCGCGAGAACGCGATTCCTGTACAAACTGTAAGGGCGTCCCGCGCGAGAGCGCGATTTGGGAATGCATTGTGAGGAAGTGTCAGGCGGGAGCCGTTGTTGTTGAAACTCGGGGGTCCGCAACCCAGTTTGAGGCTCAAGACTTCCCGCAATCAAAAGCAGGGTGCGAGCCCCGGGAGGGGCACTTCAATAGGAGAAATACAATGGTTACCGGAGAGGGGTGATGAACAATCATCTTTTCCCAGAGACGAGAGTTCAACAACAGCAGCAAGAACACCACCACCAAACACACCAGACGCATCAACAGTAACAGCAACAATAATCACAACAACAACACCACCACCACCACCAACAACAACAACATCACCATCCACCCCAGCATCAGCATCGACGTCATCATCATCACCACCACCACCAGCATCATCGTGGTCACCACCACCACCACCACCATCATCATCATCATCATCATCGTCGTCGTCGTCATCATTATCAGCATACTCATTATCATCATCATGATCGTCGTCATAATAATCATGATCATGATCATGATCATGATCATCATCATCATCGTCATCATTATCATCATTATCATTATCATCATCAGCATCATCATCGCCATCGTCCTCAGCATCAACGTCAGCGTCAGCATAAGCGTCAGCATCATCACCATGATCATCATCACCATCACCATCACCGTCACCATCACCATCGCCACCATCATCATCAAGATCAGCAGCATCAACATTAGCATCATCAGTATCCTCATCAGCATCATCCTCATCATCATTATCATCCTCGTCCTCACCCTCATCATCATCCTCCTTCTCCTCATCATCATCATCATTATCATCATCGTCGTCGTGGTCTTCGTCGTCGTCGTCATCGCTATCGCTATCGCTATCGTCGTCGTCGTCGTCGTGGTCGTCGTCGTTGTCGTCGTCGTCGTCACCCCCCCTCATCCTCATAATCCTGATCATCCTGCTCACGGCTCTCCCAAGCCTGGAGGCACCACGAGGCGTCACACGTGACGGTTCTCCGTGCCCCCTCGAACAGTCGCTACCTTGAATGCTGGGTTGGCACGGTGGTTGGACTTGCCGCAGGCAGCTGGATAGATCAGGATGTGGGAGGCGACGCCTCTGGGCCAGTAGAGATTGCAAAGAGGACACTATTGGATTGTGGTGGGGCGGTGGTGGATATGCCTCGTAATCAGGCGGGAAAGAAGTACGCCACAATCCGAGCAGGACAATTTCTCGCAGGTGGCATATCCGTTTCGGTCGGGCCGAATATGCAAATAGTGTTGGGTGCGCCTTTGCCCGCGTGAAAATCGGGTATCGTCGAGATGGAGGTAGACTGTGCCTTGCTGCTGCACGATGTGGTCCCGTCATTCGGCGAGATGCCCTGCTGCCGCGGCGGCAACGAATGCGGCGATGGAGAAGGCTGGGGTGCGAGGATTTGAAGGTCTGCGTCTCGTACCAACACGGAAGACTTCGCGCTGCGCGAAGCGCGAATAACTTCGCGCTCTCGCGCCGCCTCCCAGGGGAGAAGAGGAGGATGAGGAGGATTCGGGCGCGAATCGCGAAGTGCAAAGCGCGAATAACTTCGCGCCCTCGAGGGGGCCCTTGTGATCTTTCGGCCGCCGAAGCGGCCCGAATGTTACCACCAGCACCGAGGTCGGGATCATCTGTCCCTCGGCGGAAGGCACCGCCGATGTTGGTGGCGGTGCCACCCAACCTCTGGGCCTCCAACAAAGGTAGGGGACTGCCGCGAGATCCCAGCTGGACTGCTGGAGGCGTCGACGCGTCGCGCTCGTCGGGGGCAAGATCGGTCGGGGGCCCCGTGGAGCATAAGACGAAGCCAGGACGAGGATCAAATCGGGCGAGGGTATATCGAGAATCTCTGAGATCCGGCGGCTCTGGAGGATGTCTCGGGCGCGGCGGCCTTCTCAGCCCGTCGCGGAACGCTCTGAGAGCGTTCCGGAACGCTCCGGAACGGACGTGTCCTCGTCCTAGCCCCGTCTGGGAGCAGCCACCGCTCCACTCGGGCAGCCGCAGCTGCCCCCAGCGGCGAGCTTCTCGGCCAACCTCAGCTGATGTAGAAACGCTGGGGCGTTTTTTCCTAGTTTTGCACATTGGCCGTTTGTCTCGTCGGTGACGTGATCGTAGGTCATACTCACGCGATGCCCGGAATCGAGGAAGAGTGGGCCGCAATTGATGTGTTGTAAGTCGCTGTGCTGGTGGGGCAGCTGAAATACCAAAATTGTCATCACGACTCGTGCTTGGTAGACAGTACACTGTCCGTGTTGCACTTTTTCTGGGGCTGCAACGCGCCCTTCAGCTCGGGCATAACGGCTTGCGCGCATCGGCTTGCGAGCTTGGGTTCCGCATCCCCCGAACGCATCGCATTAGAGGTCACTCCGATTACTCCTCCTCCTCCACCCTACTCCTCCTCCCTCCTCCCTCCTCCCTCCTCCCTCCTCCTCCCCCTCCTCCCTCCTCCCTCCTCCTCCTCCTTCTCCTCCTCCTCCTCCTCCTCCTCCTCCTCCTCATTCTCCAACGTCGGCGTCGTCGGCGGCGACCCCCAGGAGGAGGAGAAGAAGGAGGAGGGAGCAGGAGGGAGGAGGAGGAGGAGGAGAAGAAGGAGGAGGAGGAGAGGAGGAGGAGGAGGAGGAGGAGGAGGAGGAGGAGGAGGAGGAGGGGGAGGGAGGGAGGGGGGAGAAAGGGAGGGAGGAGGGAGGGAGGGAGGAGGAGCGGGAGGAGGAGGAGGAGGGGGAAAAGACGGGCGACGCCGCCGCCGCCAGCGGCGTCGGCGGCGGCGTCGGCGGCGTCGCCGACGACGCCCCCGGGAGCTCCCGGCCGTGGCCGGGCCGTGCCGGGAGGCGTGGCGCTCCTGCTGCCGCTGCCGCTGCGGCCCCGGCCGCCGCGGCTTCTGCTGCGGCCTGCGCGCCGGCAGAGGCGGGCGGCGGAGGGCCGGGAGGGAGGGGAGTGGCGAAGCGGCGGCGAGCGAAGGGGGGCTCTCCCTCCCTCCACCCTCCCTCCTCCCTCCCGCCCTCCCTCCCTCCCTCTCTCCCTCCCTCCCTCCCTCTCCTCCCTACCTCCTCCCTCCCTCCTCCCTCCTCCGCCCTGCACCACGTGGCGTCCATCCCCCCTCCCTGCTGTCTACTTCGGCGGCGAGCCCGGGGGGGAGGTGAGAAGGGGCCTTCTCAGAAGGCTCGGAAGTCCCCCCGGCCTTCTGAGAGGTTTCCTGAGCCTTCCCCGGAGACACAGGAAACCTCTCGAAGGCGCGAGGGCCTCTGAGAAGTGCCACCGCCTTCTGGGAAGGTCTTCTCCTTCTCACTTCCCCCCCTCGCGCGCCGCCGAATGAAAGAACAACACGCGGTCAGACCTGTACAGGGCGACGAATTCTATACACATCTACTGCTCCCTGGCGAGGCCCATCCTGAACCCCGCAACGGTGTATACGCCACGCCAGGAGGGCAGCTACACAGCTCCTGGGCCCAGGACGGGCCCGGCCAGGGGGCAGTGGACACGTACAGATACAGATGTCGTCGCCCGACTGCGGGGACGAGGAGCGGGAAGGGCTGGGCGACGAAGGCGCCACAGGCACAGGCGCGAGCTGCCAGACCCCGAGAAGGGGCTCTCGTCCGAGCGGGGGCCCCTCCCCACAACACACGCCCACAGAGCCCCCCGGAACCCCACCCAGAGGAGCTCGGAGGCCGCACAGGCACGGGCCAGCGGCCAGCCCATGAGGAAGGGGGAGGACCGACGCGCGAAGTCGTTTAGTCAGCGCGCCCAGAGAAGGAATCGAACAGGGCAGGGCTGCTTGGCAAACGCCCAGGGCCGCTCAGCAAACGCCAGTCGTCTGGTCCAGGTGGTTTGTCCTCCCCTCGAGGAGAGGAAGGGAGACGAGAAGGAGGCAGGGGGAGGAGGGATCTGGCATGAACCTGGCGCTGCGGCGAGCCCGGGGCCGGCGGAGGAGCCCGCCTCCTCCGAACCGTCCCTTGGCGACGAGGGGACACGGCTGGAAGAACTGTTGGCCGTTTCGTGCGCGAAATGGTTGCCAACGCCGATCGGGACAAAAAAGATAATCCACATCGAGTCGAAAACTCGGATCGGAACGGAATGTACGTCTGATCGAGCGGCATCGGTACGGACTCGGATCGAATCGGATCGGCCGCGCCCGGATGCACAACAACGCCACGCGGACACCGGGCCGCATCGGAGCGCCAGCGAATCTGAACCGCATCGGATCGGGCTGGCCCAGAGGGAGGCCTCGAATCGGATCTGCCTGATCGAAACAGATCATGGATAGGGGGGGGGGTCGGCCGTGCGTGTGGTTCTGTCTGACCTGCTACTAGTGCCAAGCCGTCGGCCTGGCTCTACGTTGGACCTCCCGCAATCGTTTCGTTCGTTCACGATCCGAAGTGTTTGGTAACACGCGCCGTGCTGGGGGGGGGGAGAGGGAAGGGAGGAGGTGAGGGTGGTGGCTGCCCTGAAAGGTGGGCGGACATGGGGAAGCCAAAGGGTAGGTACCCTTACTGGTACTCCGCGGGCCTCTCCCCGTGTTCCCTGACCAACATTTCCAAGTGAATCCAATAAATGTTCCGGATTCGCGACGAAGGCCTCGGAGGATGCCCCGAAAAGGGGCAATTGAGGAAAGGGTAGTTAGCGGTATGGGTACCCTTTCCTCCCCCGAGGATAAGGGCGAAGGAAAAGGAGGAAGAGGAAAAGGAGGAGGAGGAGGAGGAGGAGGAGGAGGAGGAGGAGGAGGAGGAGGAGGAGGAGGAGGAGGAGGAGGAGGACGCGCGCGCGGTTCTGCGGGGAGGCGGACGGCGCCACAGTCGTGGAACCCTCCCCCCGCTGGGGGGGGGGGGCGCACCGCCCGGGAGCCAGGGGCCCAACCCTGGCCCCCATCCCCGCGCACACACACACACATACACATACACATACACACGCACGCACACACACACACACACACACACACACACACACACACACACACGCGCACATACACATACACACGCATACACATACACACGCGCGCGCACGCGCGCGCGCACGCGCGCGCACGCGCGCGCACGCGCGCACGCACGCACGCACGCACACACGCACGCACGCACGCACGCACGCACACACGCACGCACACACACACACACACCCACACACACACGCACACGCACACGCACACGCATACGCAAACGCACACGCATACGCACACGCACACGCACACGCACGCACACGCGCACACGCACACGCACACGCACACCCACACCCACACAGACACACCCACACCCACACACACACACCCACACACACACGCATACGCACACGCACACGCACACGCTCACGCGCACACGCGCACACACGCACATGCGTTTTTTGCGTCGGCA